CACACACACACACACACACATGCACGCCGTATCTCTGTGCGTCACCCTTGCTGAATAGGGAGAGGAAGGGAGAGCTTTCAACGCCATGTGCGACTTCCAATAACACGGAAGCAAGAAATGAAATCAAGGGCCACTGAAGGTTTACAATGAAAAGAAAGAGAACAAGATGTGATGTGATGACAATGCTTCGGCTCTAAACCACCAGTTCCTTTTCCGGCTATTTGGTTCCAACGCAGTTGTGAAGACGATATGTTAACAGAGGCTCGGCCAATTGGAAGGAAAAGGCTGGTCGCCCCACACAAAAAGAAAATATTTTGCACCCCCGCAGGCAGGTTCGTTTTTTTTTTTAATTATTATGTTTATAAATTGTTGATTGCAAAAGGAGGCCGGGAATCGCTCCACATCTCAAGCCGGTGTACTGGGGCCATGTATCAGAACTTCAACTTGGTGAAAAGATGCCGAGACGGAACTAGTGGTCTAAAGGCTGGTTATTGGGGGCCAAGGGGGCCTTCGCATCAGTTCTGTGTCTTCTCCATTGCCGCCTCTGCCTTTTCTACCTTGTTCCATAGGGTGTGAAACATCACGTACTATGTATGGTATTATGGCAGCCTATATGAAGGTGGACTGCAGTAGCATAGATGCATCCACAGTCACGTCATTGCTATGGGCCCAATCATCAGGTGCAGCAACAGAACTGGCGGTGACGCCAGTCGTCATCAAGCACAGGTTAGATAACGCAAGTGCTCTCGGCTCGCTGCAGACACCAATCTACTACCGTCTCCACCCGAATAGAATGCCCGGTCATTATCGCTGCATCTGGACTGAAAGTTGGTCCAATTGCCGCCATAATGACCGGGTGTTCTATTCCGGTGAAGACAGTAGGGGTTTGCTGTGGTCATGACATGCAGTGGAGAGTAAAAAAATGCGGCTTCTCAAGGCTCTTCATGCATGTTCGAGAACAGCGCTTCAACAGCTCAGGTATCATTGTCAGGATGTCTGCTGTCGTGCACACATTCCTGAACTCAATGAACACCTCGCACCATCAGGAGGATCTGCATGAAGGCCGCTTCGTTTCACTCGGTAATCGTTCGGGCCGCTCTGTTGATTGTTGATCATGGCGTCAGGCGTCATACACACTCAGATGGCCTCCCATCCACCTTTGTTGGCCGACAATGAACCCCATCCACTTGTCGAACCCAGTGAGCGATTGAGCCATCATGGGCCCTCCCCCCCCCCCCCCCCCCCCCCCCCCCAAAAAAAAACAAAAAACAAAAAACAAAAACTATCTACAACCCCTCACTGCCGAAGAAACTCACTTAGCGAGACTTAACTCCCATCCCGTGCTGTCCTTCGGTCTCCCCATCCATGATGCATGCATCCACCATCCACCAGATGGTCCAAAAGATGATTTCAGACATTCAAACTTTCCGTTCTTGTCCTATTTCTGTAGAGAAAAGATCAGAGGAGAGGAGGGGGGGGACGGGGAGAGGAGAGGAGAGGAGAGGAGAGGAGAGGAGAGGAGAGGAGAGGAGAGAGAGAGAAGAGAAGAGAGGAGAGATGCCATGACCATGCAATGTCGGCAAGTTGTCATGCGTACATAGAGTTGTAGGTACGCCGCCAAACGTCACTCGACGACCAACCCTCACTTTTTTCCCCATCTCTCCACCTCTCATAAACCCAGCTTCACTGTGGGTAGGTTTCTAGTACCCTTCCTTTCCCATCCAGAAAAAAAGGGCCATCCCATTTTGGTGCCATGTGTGCTAACATGACCATTTTTGCTTGCATCTTTTCCGGCCGCATCCAGAAAAAAAAAGGGTAATTGTAATATTAGTGGAGCCGAGAGCCACGATAAGTCCGGACCTCTACACTTTTCCAGCCGCATCGAACAGTGTCCGCAGAATCTGCAGACAGCCTTCTGAGGCTTGTGTTTATCCCTCGAACGGTTAAATCTATTTTGTCAAACCCAGAAAGAAAGAAAAGAAAGAAAGAAGCTTTCCCAGGCCAGGCCTGCAGAGTGTGAAATGATTTTTGTTCTTCTTTTTTGCGCTGATGTGGCAAAAGCCGCAAAACCTATTTTAAGTCCCTGGTTCTTTATTGGAGTTTTTCGTCGTGAGAAATCAGAATTAAAAAACCACCGAAGTTGGGGTTCTCAGAATTTCGAATCCCACCTGGGACCCACCTCGGTTCTAGAAATGAGAATTCAAAATCGCCTTTGTTTTTCGCGGCTTGTGTACACATTTTTTTCCAAGGTTGCCGGGCCTGAGATTTTTCTGGATTAAAGTTCTTACAAATGCGCCCGTGTTTTTGTTTGTGAAAAGGAGGTGGAAGCACCCAATCGGACAATCGGATAGGAGTGAGGCTGTCCGATAAAACATAGGATGATTTGGTTACTTTTGAAGTTTTGATGGATGCGGGTGATTGAGCAATCACCTGAGAGGCCCACAAACACACATATCTTCGACAGAGTGCCTGTGTGATACTCGAGGGTTTGATTGCTCAGTAGTCGACGACTTAAAAATGTTGCGGCCTAAATACAACAACTGCAAAATGTGCCATTGGCACACGAAGATATGTGTGGGCCATCTTTTGTTCCAAGGGCACATTTTGCAATTGTTGTATTTTCATGGCGCATGACTTGCGCGGCAGTTGCCCACAAGCGCCGCGTCGCGCAGTGCACATGCAGCGCATGCACGTGGTGCGCCACATGGGGAAAATTAGGGGTCACCAAAAAAAAGAAAAATCGGGGGGCGGGGTGTCCAGGGAAAAGTGGAAACTGGGCCACAATGTTTTTTTTCAGGGTCGCACCAAGGCCCATAATTGTTTTTTGTGGGAGTCCTTGCCAACGTTCGAATTCGACTTCCGACGTTGGCAAGGACCTCCCCCTACTCTGGCGTGGCCGTTTCCTACCTACTGGCCTACAGTTGTCCCCGCCATCTGTGCGCTGCAGTCACTTACCCTCCGAGCCCACCATCCTCCATAGCTGGGTCAGCGGAAGCAGGCAACAGGCTGCAGAGGCAGGCGGAGGTCAGCGGTAGCAGGCAACAGAGGCAAGCCATCGCCCTCTCTCCTCTCTCTTCTCTCCTCCCCCCCACCCTTCCTACCTCCTCGTCTGCTTCCCCCCCCTCATTTTATGGAAGGGCTTTGCCATCAGCCCTCCCGAAGCATCACATTTCTCCTTCCTCGGTTCCGCCATTGCCACCTTTCCCTCTTGCCATGTATCTCTCCTCCTCTCTATCTCCTCTCCTTCCCCCCCACCCTTCGTTTCTCCCCTCTCTCTATATATCTCACTGGCTCTCTGCTTCCGCCATTGACCTCCTTCAGCCACCTCTCTCTCTCTCTCTCTCTCTCTCTCTCTCTCTCTCTCTCTCTCTCTCTCTCTCTCTCTCTCTCTCTCTCTCTCGTCCCCCATCCATCTTCCCACTCGCTCCCCTTCTGTCACGCCGGTATCTCCACCAGATCAACCTCCGTATCTCCTCCACTTCTCCCTCCATTCTCCATACTCCATCCTCCTCTCCTCATTACCCTTCCTCGTCCTTCCCCCCACATCGCCGCCATATCCCCACCGCATCCGTCCTCCTCGCCTCCATCCCCCGACATTTCTCCGCCATATCTCTGCCCCTAGGCTTTCAAAGAGAAAAAAGAAAAAAAAGACCCGCGCATTGGGCGCACCTGTCCCTGCCCGCTGCGCGTGCATGCGCACGAGTGCACTGCCGCCTGGAGCGCGCATCGCTGTCGCGCGCCACTTCTTCCCCCAAATACATCGTGCGGTCATTATTTTGCTGTATTTAGGGTATCTTTCAGTCGAAATACAGCTATAATGACCGTACGTTGTATTCGGGTGAAGAAGGTAGTACTACTGAGCAATTAGACCCTCAATTGCCACAGACACTGGACAGCTCTCAATCAAGCTAGCAGTTGTTGTGTGCTACTTCGATGTCCGCTTTCCACAGCTGTGGGCCATCTCTGTTCCATAGGTGAGGGAATCATTCTAGCCGGCAGGGGTGTGTTTGTCAAAAAATATATATATATATATATAGCTGCACATGTTTATGGTGACTATGTTTGGCGATGATGTCCTTCAACTGTGAATGTGGCCGCAGTTCATGGAAAGAAGGTAGCAAATKTTWTKTTTTYTTTTWYYTTTTTTTTTTTTTTTTTTTTTTTTTAGTTCCGTTCAAATGTTWTKTTTTTGGGTATGGCTGTGCATACATGTGTGTTTGGGGAAAAGCAATGTTCCCCGGCTCCCCCCCCCCAAAAAAAAAACACAGAGGTATTCCTTCTTGCCACAGAGAACTTTTTCTAGAACACGTAGTAGAGACGCGTTGTCTTCGTTGATGACAACCATGAGATGGACATGATAATGAAGGTAGGATCAACTGCTCGCATTGGGAGTGGAATCATGCATGAAGTAGAGCAGGCTGTGGACATCATCATCCAATGGGTACCAGCAATAGAAAGGTAGTGCGTGCTCGTAAGTGGAACTGGCATAGGCCTATTACACTCTTATTCATGATGTGAATGGTGTTCACTGTTTAGGTCTGGAAGGCATGACCCTAATGGATATCCACTGGTACAAGACCAAACATGGATATAGGTTGGTTTTTATGTCCGACAACTGAGGGATCGACCCTGCAAGGAATCGAACCGGCGATCTTGTGTTCAATTGTCAGACGCCTTAACCACTGCAGCCGTGACTCGGTGTTTGACGGTGGAACCCTACCGGTCGCAATAGCCACCCCACCCCTGCATGGCTGCATCGATATTGCAGCATTCCTTCACACACGGCAACCTCTATGAGACCCCCCTACAGAGCTTAGCCCTTTCGCATGTAGCCACCGCTCAACGACCAGACACCTTGACCACTGCAGCCGTGACTCGGTGTTTGAAAGTGGAACCGTACCAGTCACGATATCCACCGCACCCCGGCACGGCGGCAGTAGAATCCCTGCATCCCTCCGCACACGGCATCCCTGTGAGACCCCCGTACAGAGCGTAGCCCTTTTAGCACGTAGCCACCTCCTCCGGGCATTGTTCCTCGGACGGTTACTACTCAAATCTGCTGGTTTGTGTGAAGTTCGGTTTGGCCATGAATGAGGTGTTCTAGAGTTATATGTACCATTTCCGGCAATGCGCTTGATGGACTGCCGATGGGCCACAGGTAGGAACATTCGACTTTCAACTCAGATAGTCCACGCCTGTGTGGATAAGCTGCCCGGCGCCCGCTTGTGTCACCTTTCGGCTTTGTCAGAATTGAACCCCCGTACGTGTGGAGTAAAAGTCGCGTATATGAGATCGGCGATCCATTCGGGGGAAGACGGTAGTCATTGCTCCAGTATGGAGCGCGGGTCCTGGTTGTTATCTCCTCTAGAAATGGCTCTGTACTAGAGTAACCTTGCCAGTGGCCGTCATGGCTTCTTGTTTAACTTGTTTTGTCGGGGCGACCCGAGGGCACACTTTTTTTTTTTTTTTTTTTTTTTTTTGAAAAACCCCTGCGACCACGCCAGGGGGAGTGATATGAGCATCCCCTCCTAGCAGGCCACCTGGTTGCT